TGCAAAGAAATTCAGGCAATTCAATTAAATTAAATTTTGCAATTTAGTTGAGCATTCAGGAAACAGAATCATTCAGTAATTTCAAATGCTATTGGCACGTCATTTAACTTTATTACCTAAGCGGGAATGTCACATTATGACTTCATCTTTTTCTCTATCCCAGTGTTATAATATGGCAATGGAATAATATTGTGCTAATATGCTATGAGAAAAGTTTAGGTAAAAAGTAAAGAATAATAGCAGGAAGCTTACCGTTATTGGAGAATCCTCGGAGTCGCTCATGACGTGAATGTCCAGTAGCTACCGGAGGAAACAAGTGGTTCAGTTTCTTATTTGCTTTTTAAAATCTTCAGCATTTATGCAACATTTCCAATGAACGTCTCATGCCAAAGAATAGTGGACCTTCGCGAGGCCAAAGTGCACAAAGACGTCCACCAATATAACGCGGTCCTCCATGCTCATTTGCTGATGTTGATGAAATAACTACCGTAAACAGAGAGGGAAGAATGGACAGACATGCACACACTGAGATGGGTGCACCCTGTGGTGCACATCGCACAATACTGTAGTTTGCTCTCTTTAGCAATGCCTATTATATTCAAATATTTATTTCGATAGTTATGAAAAAATTTTGGATCCATGTTGTGAGTAACATTACTGTCTCCGATACACGGAAACTTAAGTTACCACTTCACTTAACACTAAGAAGGAAGAACTGTCAGACGGTTTTCAGGAAGAGTTGTTCGAAATTTAACAAGCCTATACTATTTTGATATGACAACTTCACTGATAATACTAGCCATTTCTACATGATTAATTAAGTTTGCTACAAAAAAAAGGGTAACTATGAAATATATCCTTAACGCTTCATGTCAGGCTAATACGTAATGGTACCCTTAGCTGAGATGGATTCTCTATACCAACTGTGTTTTCGATATTGGTTTTTATAAAGAAGGTCAAGCATTACTATCTGCTTCATTTTGAGTCATTTCGAGAAAGATTTTTTATTTAATCATCAATATGACCAAATAAAACGATATGAAATAACTAATAACTGATTTCAAGATAATGAAGTGATTGTGAGAAATAATCGTTACGGAAAGTTGTGGGCAGTTTAGAAAAGTTTTACAACACAATCTGTGCCAGGATATTCGGGAAGGTCTAAGTGGTACTTTACAGCGAGAGCTTTTGGAACAAACCGACCACCTACGTAGTGCGCTCGACCGTGAAAATGTTTTGCACAAAGTTTCGGTACGGTTAACGATATTAAAACATCAGGATTGAACGCCAGTTCTCCCTCAAGTGGGCCCTTCTCGACATCCCACCCTGAAATACAACATGCCGAGTAACCGGAATAACCTAACTGAATGAGATTAGAACCATTTGATTGAGGAAAATAAACCATATGCAATGAATCGGCTCATTTTCATGACGAAATAAATTTACAAAAATGGAAGAGAGTGAAAAGTGGCTGGAATCCATGGGATATCATCAAAAGGACCAGAAGCAATTTCATCGGCAGGAAGCTGGCAAAACGGCCAGCATGCAAAAAATATCGATAGCAAGTGTCATCAACGACAATGACAGGAAGAATAAGGGTGAAAAAGGAGAAATGAAGAGGCATCCTTTAATACACATAGCTCTTTCATCAACAAAGAATTGCGATCTTCCCCATATCACACCCCATCTATTCAATTTACTAATTACTTTTTATTGCTTACAATAGAAGGCATCTTAAATTTTTCGAACATTAACAGAATTGAAAAAAATGGGATGGAATTTGAAGGAATTTCACTACTGTGATCATTTCTTGAATAATGACGTACAACAATATTCTAAAAGAAGTACTGTATTTTTAATTAATGATGGAATTTAGCTTTAAACTGTTTAAATTATTACACCAAAATGACATAGGCTATTTAATACAATTCTGTTTTTCAATTTCTTGAAACCATAATTAATTCTTTGAACTCTCCGCAATTATTTTTCAAACCTTTTAAATATGGGTATTAGTATCTATTGGAAGCAAAAAATCTTGGTTAGCAAAATGGTGTTTCATCAAGGTCCTAAAACAGAAAATTCCTGCTATTTTAGTGTTGAATAAGTTGTATTTTAAAAATGACTTCTCTTCACTAATCTGGGCATGAAATTTTGAGGTGCTGGGAATGTATAACATTGCGGAAAATTTTTTCTAATTGGATAGTAATCAAAAAAGCGAATGGTGCAGGATGATGTTACATTAAAAGATAAACATATACGCTCTAAAAACATCTGAATAAATTCATTTACCTGATGGTATATCGATTGACACCACTGGTAAGGAGCTTTTATTGACTGCCTCGATTATCTCATCAAATGGCTCCCTTAACGGTGGTTTGAAACTAAATCCAAACAAAGCATCCACAACCAATGTGAACTTATTTTTTATTTCAGACGGATTTTTGAAAATACTGTCATCGATATGAGGTATACCCAATTTTTTTGTCTGCATCACAAGCCGTTCCATCAGTTCTGATTTTGACTGTTTTGGATAGAAAATGAATGGTTCGAAGCCCTACGAATGCGCTTTATTAAATTTATTTGAAAAGGTTATCAAAATTACCTTCCATTTTAGATATGGCAGCATTTCTGATAAAATGCTCATTAGTAGCCTCTGTGTGGTTGTATACCACACGATATATTGCGCTGATATTTTGGATAGTTCAGGTATGGTGTCATAGATTAATTTAGAACTCCAAAGCAAATCGCCTGAATATTCCTGAAACAAAAATATACATGTTTTCACATGCTTACTAGAAGTGTTAGATGGCGTGCACATACGAAACCATCACCACCATTATTTCCTGGGCCACAAATGATGAGAATTTTTCCTTTATCGCAACTGCGTGCTATTGCATGCGCGCAACTTAGACCTGCAAGCTCCATCAACTGATCCACGCTGAATGCATAAAAGTTGAATAGCTCGCGGTCCAGTGCAACCGCATCATACTGACTGAAAATAATGCCAAGAAGAAATGATGCAATTTTATTTTAGAAAATGCAGAAAAATTTCAAAAGTTAAAAAAAATGCATCCAATTTTTTTAGGTAACAGTTATGTGCAAGCGATTACCCAATTTACAACTGCTAATCAAGTATTATACTTGCTATTCTCTCTCATGAAGGATTCCAGCAATATCGAAAGAAAATCAAGTTAAATACCATTTCAATAGATAAAAGTAATGAACATAAAAAGATTGTTGTTTTTAATATTCGTATTGTATTTTCGTCAAAGACATTTCCTTACAGTTTTGTTATTCGTGATTATGAAAATATCCTTATCAGAATATTGACGAAAATATAGCACGAATATTAAAAGGTTTAGAGTGAAGATGAATCATTTGTTTCATCAATGATTTTGAATTACATGGAAAACAGGAAAAAGAAATGAAATGACTAGTAATATTGTGAAATTTCTTAGCAGTAATATCAGTGGAACTTGAAATACATAAATACGCAATAATATTAATTGGAAACGTAAAAAGTGAATTCCAACAGATGAGGTACTGAGAGGTAAGAAGGAAGCATTATTAATCGAAGGAATTGCATTTAATGATGGGAATAATGACATATAACATGTAGTAAGAAAAAATCCTTTATGCATATCTGAAAAAGAATTAGAAAAATGTTGCAATTAAAGTTACAAGATAATCTTGCACACAAAAATAATACAAAAAACAATGAAACAGAATCTAAGCAGGCAGTATTGGCCAATGTGAAAGAAGTGTTTGTACAATGTTGTACGAATTAGGGAAAACACCCCAGCAACGATAGAGATAAATATAATAGCAACTGCAGAGACAGTTTTATCAGAAATTGTGCATATGTCACGAAAATACTTCATTAATTTTTAGCTCCAAAATACATGGAGTAGACTACATTTACTATCATACATTATGCTATAATTCTAATGACGTTTAATAACTTGAAAAAGGTTATTAAAAATTTTAACTTGAGAAATGAAACATACCTGATGAAGGAAACATCATTCACATTAGTCATTGTAACAATACCTCTAGGTTCCATCAGCGCTTTGTTCATAAGACGAGAAAACGAGCGTCGCGTGGCACTGCAAAAAGCATAATGAAACAGCATGTCGTGACAGCCTGCAATGAGGCATCATTCCTAAGAAATTTTAAAATTAAAAAGTAATTTTATATGCAGCATTTCGAAAAATCAAAAAACTCACTATCCGTTTAGCCAATCAAATTACATAAGTGAATGATACGAGTGATAAAAGCAACAAAAAATATCTTGGCAACTGTGATTTATTTGCCGTCACTTTTACTGCAATCTCATTACATATAAAGCAATAAAAGAGTAATAGCAATTCTTAAGCGATAAAATATAGAAATTAAACGGACAACAAATTAGTAAGAGAACAAAGATAATTAGCCCAAACTGGAGGAGTGAGGACAATAGACACAAACGAAGAGAATTTAATCTATCGTTAAAAACTGTTCGGGCCGCAAGGCCTTCCTTCTCAAAGATTGTGGGTTTCTGGATTACAGTGTGTGTGAGGATGAAGGTGTGTGTCTGTCGGGATCAGTGATGCTGATTTGGGGTGATCCATCTTCAGCTAGAGAGGTTTGCAGGAGGAAATGTATCCACTTCGCATATGGTTCATTATTAAAATGACTCGCTGGGTCTTATTCTTGTTAATGTTGCACCATGAAATGCCTTTTTCCGTGGTGCAAGTAAGGCTTGTTGCTAATCTTTAGCATAGTAAAATATTTTATCATTTATCGTAAACATAGTGAGAGAGAAAAGATTTCTCCAGTACTGCTGTAATTTTAATTTCAGTTTTATTTGTATTGAACGCATTTTTGAGAGCAAAAATTACGCTGAAATTATTGACCAGGATTCGAGTTTGACAGTATGAATTTCATTTATATTTAGTTTAATTTCATTCAGTTTAATTTAGACTTGGATTTTTAGAATTTATTTCATTATTTTTATAGAATTTATTGGGTCAAAAGATTGAATATTAGTGCTGGATTGATTTGTATGAGTAAACATTATCCACTTGTAACAGACGTAATCGTTCACATTGACACATTACTCTAATGACTACAGTTGTTGCTTCACCTGGGCAAGGACCTGATCGTCAGGTAGAAGTGCAATACTCCGATGCCAAGGTCATTTTTGTGTTTTTCAAGATTAAGTAAACTCATTTGATTTTTTTAGCAAACAGTGTTGCGAAATTGTTTTAAAAATAAGTTGATTTTTCGCACTGAGGACAAATAAATTTGAAACTAAATCCAGTAATTTATCCTCAGTTTTTTCTTCAATCCTCTATTATAACTTTTCCAATATTAATTCTAGATTTAAAGATCACATCGAAATCAATTTCTTAGATATAAAAATTTTTTCAGAATATTTATTTAAATTAGTCCTACAATTTCGTTCTCTTTATTGTAGGTAGTTGGTAGCGGCTCTTTTGGTGTCGTCTATTTAGCCGAATTGATCGACACGGGAGAACAAATTGCAATCAAGAAGGTACTTCAGGATAAACGATTCAAGAATCGCGAATTACATATAATGAGAAAGTTAAATCATAAGAATGTTGTACAGCTCAAATACTTTTATTATTCGGGAGATGAAAAAAAGGATGAACTCTATTTGAATCTGATTTTAGAGTAAGTTTCATATTTGCAGTTCATTTCTGCTTCACTCTTCGTCTCTTTTCGTTTTGTTCTTCTGGATTCTTTTTACTAATACTTTTTATTAAGATAAATATTTCCTGAATCTGAAGCCAGATGATGCTTACTACAAAGTAGTACATCCTAAAGTTCTAGTTTTCATTTTTACAAATGAATTTTTTTACAAATAGATTCGTACCAGAAACAGTTTATCGTGTCGCCAGACATTATTCCAAGTTACGACAAACGATACCTATTATATACGTCAGGTTGTACATGTTCCAGCTATTTCGAGCTCTGGCATATATCCATCGACTTGGTAAGATTTTTTGTTTAATTTGATCAACATTTACTCATCTGTAAATGCAAAAAAATTCATAATCTACACACTAGCAGGTATCATAACGAAAGGGATATAATGGAATGCAAGGAAAATAGCAATACGATACTATTAGCTATAAAAATGTGATGTTCTTGACAGATCCTGTTAATTTTTTGTGATGTTCTTGACAGATCCTGTTAATTTTATTTAAAAAATCGTAGAGGATTTTTTCGTTGCAGTAGAGCTTTGTACACAATGATTCTGATCTTTTTTAGGAATTTGTCACAGAGATATTAAGCCACAGAATTTGCTAATCGATACTGAAACTGCAGTGCTTAAACTTTGTGACTTTGGTTCAGCCAAATATCTTGTTCGAGACGAGCCGAATGTTTCCTATATTTGTTCTCGTTATTATCGTGCTCCAGAGCTTATTTTCGGTGCTACCAACTATACGAATAGGTATTAAAGGAAGTTTCATTAACTATACAACAGCAATGAATGAAGATTCTTTGAATCTGGCTTGGAACGTATTTAACGTTTATTTCTATCTTTCCAAATCTTTTAATTTTACGTCCTTTCAGGAAATGATTTTATTTTTTAATTAGCAAACATTGCATTACCGGAATGGTTTTAATAATTTCATGATTTCATGAAATATATGAATCACTTGTTGCAGTATCGATATGTGGTCAGCTGGGACGGTTCTAGCAGAACTTTTACTGGGTCAACCGATATTTCCCGGTGATTCTGGTGTTGATCAGCTGGTCGAAATCATCAAAGTTCTTGGCACTCCGTCAAAAGCACATATTCATGAGATGAACCCAGACTATAAGGAACGCACTTTTCCACCTATCAAAGTGAGCACTGAATGCATCAGTTAACTTAGTGAAACAGAATGATATATAACCGAAAGTATAAGTTTCGAATGGTTCATGTCTCGTTGTGAATCAATAGTATGAAAAGTCTGTGGAAACAATAATAATTATTGTTTCCGCAAATGACATTGTAACTACAGTAATTCATCAGCTGTAGATCATCGGTTTTGTTCATTTCTTTTTCAATTTCAGTTTCTCACTTTTTCTATTCTTATTGACTGAATCCGAAATGTTTACATTATGTTCAATTTCTCAATCAACAATCTGCAGCCACGCCCATGGATACGTGTTTTCCGTTCAAATCCAAATTTGGAGGCGGTCGATCTTATATCACTTGTACTTGTTTATTCACCACATCAACGACCCAGTCCGCTAGAGGCTTGCGCACATTCATTTTTCGATGTGTTGCGCAATCCAGGAACAAAATTACCTAATGGACGTGATATTCCGTCATGTACAGATTTTACTTCTGAAGAACTATGCTGTGATCCTACAATTGCATCACTGCTCTGTCAGGTTTGTTTTAAAACATCTTGGGAGCTCTATGCATGTTTTGTTTTTTAATGCTATTTTTTGTTCCATTCAACATTAAATACCTACCGACAAGGCAATTAAAGTCATTTGTTTTTTTAAATAGCTCACTTTATCATTTTCACAGAAGATGCAACAACTATGATCTCTGATTTTAATCTCTTGAAAAGCGAATACGAGATAGTGCAATATTATAATTGTAAACTAGCTTGGGGACTTTTCCATACATTCCTAATTTTTAACATATAAAATTATTCTGCCCTCATTTTGTTGGAAAAGGTAAAACATTTTGTATTTGATTTTCTCTGCAGCATTGCACAAACAGTGGAACGTAGTAATATAAGAAGTTATTGTCCTTATAAGATTTAGATGCGATCAGTATTGTGATCAATATTAGAAATGAAAAATTAATATTTTTTGGTAAAAAACTGAAATGACTTAAAGGAAAAGAAAGTGGAAAATGAAGAAACGATAAACAGTAATAGCGCAAATGGTGTGAACAGCTGAATGAAGGGGAATTTCCTCTGACTTTGGAAGCTGTCGAGTGGTTGCAGTATGCTAGCAAAATTTCTATTGTCGTCTTTCCTTGTGCATTTTTGTAGGGCAGCTACATTATTTTGTTATGCTGGTTTTATATTTTTAAAAATTTGCAAAGGACACTTTTCATATGCTTTTTCATTTAGAAATGCTCGTAATTTGAGGTAAATATACATTTCCATTTTTGGAGGCTGTTTATGTTTAATGTACCTTGTCCTGAAAATTTTCACTTCTACTGTAGTAATGACGTTTTAGTTTCATAATGTCATTCAGAAGATGGGTCGCACATAATTGGTCCCAAATATAAATGTTCGTCTTTACTTAGGATTTCTAGCTCTGCGACATGTTTCAATTTTGTTTGTCATTAGTACTGAAAATAAGTTTTGTCGGCCTATGTAGTATTATATGCCACATGAAAATTAGAACGAGTGAATTTAATACATTTGCGCATTTGAAGGCAAAGCATATTTTGAAATTGAATCGTATAGAGAGTTCTTTTGTACATCTCTATGGTCTGTAATGTGAAAGACTGAGGAATGCCTGATTGGTCTGCCTAAAGTTGAGCGGGAACATCTCGTAGGGACTGACCAATCTTATCAATCATTGTTTCCTACCCTCCAGCTCCTTTGAGTTGAATTTCAGAAAAACAAAGAACGTGCGAATTAGTGCAGAATAAATTCTATAGTTTCTATGAATGCTTGAAATTACTCTCCGTTCGCAAGCGTCACAAATACATGTATAAAAGGACTCGGCTTAAGCCTTCTGGTTTTGAATGAAGTCAGTACTGATGAAGACATGGTTTATGCGTATTTGGTCAACATGAGAAAAGCTAGCACACTATAATGGAAAATATATACTAGCAAGTCTTTCACCAATATTTCGTGTGATGACACTGCGACAATCAAAAAACATTTTTCATTTCAAAATAAACTCATACAATTCAATGAATGAAATCCGGTGCATTTGACGGAAGAAATCATAAGAGAACACTGATGAAGAAAAAACTCTTAACAACACGATTTTTTATACACATTCTTCGCTGAGCAAAAAACCGAGTACAGCATTATCTTAAAAAGAAATCAAACGACGAGAATTAAGCAGGGGGTATTTCCTTCCACTTGTATGGTCAAAGCCGCCAAACCGCTCACACGAGGTTATCACTATGCACCTTGAGAAGTAACAAAAGGCGAGAACACTTTTGCACATTGTCACATGCATGACAACCTCGTTATATAAGTTTATTTTCATCAGTCAAGACTGTGCCGATTGCGTGGTAGCTGGAGGTGAAGATATTGTACCACTGTTGTTCAATAGAGGAGTTGCCAGTGGTGCATTCAAACTTCCCGCTGTTCCAGCTAGAAACAATAAAACTTATCTGAATTTGCCTCAGACTCAAAAATATTTTGCTTACAGAAAGAAATTCTACAATTAGACTTAAGGAAATACTTGCAAAATAAAAAACAATTTTTCTCCTCTTCCCCTCCCTTCGTATTGTTCTTATAAGTAAAACCTACAGTTTGCAACAGATGTAGCAAGATCTTTATTGCGCTGTTCATTTTCAACAACAGGATAGAAATATGGATGCTGCATAGCTTCTTTTGCAGTGAGTCGTTCCTGGTGATCATAGCGAAGTAATTTATCCAGAAAATCTACTGATTCTGCAGAAACCAGATGCTGATTTTCGCTATGCACGAAACGTTCCCAGCGTTTTTTGGAATGCCTAAATAATGAGCTTTCAGAAAAGTATTCACTAATATGGTGAAAAATGAGGAGTAGGATAATTATGAAACTTATCATAATAGAAAATTATTTTATCGGTTAAAACTAACCGGCCGAGAATATCATTAAATCGAGGATCTAAATCAATCTGATATTTGTCTATGTATTCAAACAGTTCTTCAGTGCCCAAAACCTTTGCAATTCGTACTAGCTGAAAAGTATTTTAAAAAACATGTATTTAAATTAAACACGAAATCCGTATACATCGGAAGATTTCGTAAAAAAATAAATTTAAAACACTCATGAAATGAGAAATTTTACATTTTCACCTAAAGTTTAAACAAGCAAAATAAAGCTAGGTGATTACTTAATGCAAACCTGATCATAGTTGTCATGACCATGAAAGAATGGCTCTTTCCTAAAAATCATGCTTGCAAGCATGCAGCCTAAACTCCACATATCTAACGAATAATCATAGCACTGAAACAGCAAATTATAATCTTGTAGAAAAAAGCTTGAAACTTGACAGATTGTGAAGAAAACTTCAATACGGTAAGAAAAAGTGAAAACAATTTTACCTGATAATCAACTAGGAGTTCGGGACCTTTGAAATAACGTGATGCAACACGCACATTATATTCTTGTCGCGGATGGTAAAACTCAGCCAGTCCCCAATCAATAAGTCTTAACTAAAAATATATAAATTAATATCCCAACTCTTCCTTCTCCTGAAACAAAGAATAAATTTCAAAAAACGGATATAATTTCTATATATTTTACATTTTAAAATAAGTTCGAAATATAATGATATAATAACAAGTTGTCAGATTATGATGAATATTCAAATTAATTAATGAAACTGCATAATATACTAACTGTTCGCTTTTCATGATCAATCATAACGTTGTGTGGCTTGACATCACGATGCATTATGCCTTGTGAATGACAGTAGTCAAGGGCTTTTAACAATTCGTACAAATAATAGCGGATATCGTAGTCGGTCAAAGTCTGATAAAGCTGCTGAAGCTCATATAAATTAGTGAAATTTATCATAAACTTACAATATTATCATGGGCTGCTGAAGATTTTAAGACATCTTTCAGATACTATTGCTACATGGGCTACTATTGTTAAAACTAATATTACTCAATTCTGCATTTGTCGACGTTACTATCATACTTGTGGAAGAAACGATTTAAAAAGGATAAAAGCAATCAGATGATAATTTTACTCGCATCTATATAAAGTTAATATCGATAGTCGGAATGCAAAACTATGCAGAGATTTTTTTAAAAAAAAAAAAACTAATAACACCAACTATTAAACTGCTGCGTTTATCTCACCCACTGCTTAAACATTTAATGATTATCAAGTAGCAAAATTTGAGAAATCTAGTTGCCAACAACAATATTTATAATTATAGGATGCACTCAACTTACAGTTAATGATAACTACTGCAGCAGAGAACTATTTATGTAAAAATAATTTCTCTAGAACATTCCGACATCTTCGCATACTTTATTCGGAACAGAAATACTGATCCAGACATCGAAATATATACTCGCTAATCAGAAAGAAAAAACCTTGAAGTCAGTATTATTGACATATTCGAAAACAAGTGCTGGAGTTCTAGAAATAGGATCCTTTACAACATCGAGCAGCGTGATGATATTTGTTCCTCCTCTTAAATTTTCCAAAATCTTGATTTCACGCTTTATTTTCTTCTTTTTGACAGGCTGAAAAACAGGATTCGTTTTTTCCTTTTGGAAATGCTCTTAGTGTTCAAAAGAGAAATTAATGCCGATATTACCATAATTCGTATTTTTTCAACAGAGGAAAACAGGAAGCAGGTGCCACTTTTTGTTTAAGTCATTCTGAGATCAGAAAAAACTTTTCCATCTGATTCGCTTTCGTACATGTTGGCAGTGTTCTGCTACTATGTTTTTATAGTATTATGAAAAGTAAACAAATTTAGGATAATTGAAAGATAAAAACAAGCCTTAAGAATTTTGATAACACATTTTTCGTCTAGAGGTGACCTGACACCTTCGAAAACTTCACTATACTTGCCACGTCCTAATTTCCTGATCAACTGGTAATCATCGATATTACCCCATTCTATCATATGACATTCATAGTCCCAATACTCACGAGGTTTCTGTTGATTCACCTGAAAAAAATAGTATTCCTTTCGCAAAATAGCTGTCTGATAAAATTACAGAAACAAGAAAACATTTCAATGAAAGAGATCAGATTATCTTTTTTTTGTTCTCTCTTCATCAAGGATTTTAGATAGCAGAATGCTTTTTTATTTCTTCAGCTTTAGTGCACATCATTCTTGATTTTCAACTCATTTATCGTTTCTAGAAGCAATAAGACCTGGCTACTTAACCGATAGCTTTTATTCATCCCTACTTATATGATTATATGCTATCATATTTATTCCACATTAATGTTATCACGTGCGTTCGCATCATTTGGGATGCATATATACTGTGTGTGTGGATAACAATTACATGTATTAGTGATTACTAATATTTCCTAGATAATACACTGAAATATTTATTTTTTAATTCAATTCCATTTTAGGTGAATGGTGACCATCTGGATGAGGAAAGTATGATGAAGTGATAAGAGTGATAACCGACCTCGGCGTAGACGTTTGCACGGCTCGGTATTGGCATACTCCTCCCGGGTTGGCCCTCCTCTGCACTTACATCCATCCACACTTCATCGAGAAGAAAACACACGACAACCCCACTCCAAACACTGCTTCACATACGGTATCTCACGCTTCCTGCTGAAACTTTTTTCTACGATTGCAGCTATGAAGTGAAGTGTTCTCTTAGTCTCTATTAATTAGTGGACTTCATGTTGGTATTAGTGTTTCTATTTTATTATACCATTTAACAATAAGTTATTTATTTTCGAAGAAAGTGTTGACCACAAGTGCATCATACAAAATACCTCACTGAACTTTCCTTCATTATGCTCATAAACATATCTATCCCCCTCCTCACAAAACACCACTCTTCTTTTTTCCCGTTTATCTGTCCTGAATTAAGTATAATTCTGCTGAAGTGAACTAAAACTGATTTACACCAATCATTATTTATTTGATTCTTGCATCGCTGTTTGTATCTGTATATATGTGCATTGTCAGTATTTTACTGTAATATTCAATACATTAGCATAATGCAGTCACTTCATAATTAATGGTTTAGTTTCAGGTAAGTTCAATGTTCATAGCGACAGCTATTGGCTGGTCGAAATCTGGGGCTACTGCTATTACTGCTTTGAGGTGGTATGCAGTCCGTGTTATGACAGTGAAAGCGCAGCATAATTCACAGCTAAAACCTTTATATTTGGATATGCAAGCAACTACACCGATGGTTACTGACTATTTCATTTCTTTCATCGAAAATAATAGATTACCATTTGCAAAATGGTATCATCTTATTATTTTAGATCATTTGAGTTTGCAACAATTACATATTAATATGCTTATTAGTTGAAAGTTTCAGATTGTACGAGAGTTTTCTAGTTTTTTGAAATCCAAAATTTTGTTTTTAGGACCCACGTGTGGTGGATGCCATGATACCATATATGGTAAATGCCTATGGTAATCCTCACAGTAAAACTCATTTTTATGGCTGGGAAGCTGAAAAAGCAGTTGAAAAAGCTCGCTTACAGGTAACAATTTTGATAAATCGCATTGTATTATTGTTAATAGTGGATTCCAATTATGTTTCTCTTTCGCGCAGGTGGCGAAATTGATTGGAGCAGATTCACGTGAAGTTATTTTCACGTCTGGTGCTACAGAATCGAATAATATCGCCATTAAAGGAGTAGCCAATTTTTACAAAGAAACTGGAAAGAATCACTTGATCACAGTGCAGACGGTAAGAAGTTGTGTTTATTCAATTTATCGTCTTGATTCTGTGAAGTATTAAACTTCTATCTTCCACTTTTTAATTAATTGTGCAGGAGTATTTCCTTTTTAAATTTGTCATTTCCATATCCTGCTTATTCTTGTATAAAATTATTAATAGATTTAAATTGTTTAGGAGCACAAATGCGTATTGGATTCCTGTCGTCACTTATCAACTAGGGGATTCAAAGTGACCTATTTACCAGTCCAGAGAAATGGGATAATCAATTTAAAAGCTAGTTTTATATCACATTCTCCTGTTCAGCAATATTTATTTATAAGGTAGAGCATTTAAGTGACAACTATAATAGAGCAGTAGTAATATAAGAAAGATAATAATGCTTTTTATATTATTGATGAGGGTGTTATATTTCAGCCTAGAAATTTTAATTTCATATTTCAGGAATTAGAAAATGCAATTACAAATGAAACTATCCTTGTGTCTGTTATGGTTCTGAATAATGAAATTGGTGTCATACAGCCTACCAAAGAAATCGGTTACTTTTAATGTGCTTTTTTTTGAGGCTGAAATGATATTATTTTATGCTTCTTCATGGTTTCAGACACATCAGTTTATATTTGGTTTTAATTTATCTTGAAATAACTGCTTTTAGGTACTTGTGCCAAGCTAAATTAAAAACATATAATATTTAAGTAACTGTTTTATTTATTGTGGTCAGGAGCTAGCCATGCAGTTTATATTTCATCTTTTGATTAGTTTATAGGGAAAATATGTCGAGAAAGGAACGTGTTTTTCCATTGCGACGCAGCGCAAGCTGTTGGGAAAATATCGATAGATGTTAACGATATGAACATTGATCTAATGTCTATTAGTGGCCATAAAATTTATGGACCAAAAGGTAGGTGATTGTCAGAGTTACGATTTGTGAAATCCAGTTTGTTTCCATACTACTTTTTTTCGATGGAGTAATTGCATAATTATCATTGCGATTATCCTTAAAATAATATGGAAGATATTGCAGAAAACCCCGTGATTATTGGAAAAGAATTATGATTAAAAACAAATGCTTTTAAGGTATTGGAGCAATTTATGTTCGTCGGAGGCCTCGTGTTCGATTGGAAGCACAAATGTCAGGGGGTGGACAAGAGAGGGGCATGCGGTCAGGAACTCTCCCAACACCTCTCGTTGTTGGCTTTGGCAAAGTTCTTTTTATTTTTTTTTCTTTCTAGAAGTTTGGGTTAATTTGCTAAGTAAGCTGCTATTTAACTAATTTAGGCTTGTGCAATCGCAGCAGAAGAAATGGAAATGGATAAAAAACATATCGAACGACTATCGAAGCGATTATTGGATCGTGTAAATTCTAAGCTGAGTCATGTTGTGCGAAATGGTGATCCAGAACAGACTTATCAAGGTCAGTTCTATGGTTGCCTTTACTATTCAGAGAATATTATTCGATTGGGGTTGGGAACTAAAATTTGCAGTAAGAATTTTTTTGTATGTAGCAATAGTTTTATGAGCCTTAAAATAATATGGAGATATACCAATTTTCAAATAATGAAAATCAAATCAATTGTTTAGATATTTAATGCACTTTTTCAGGCTGCCTGAATCTTTCATTTTCTTGCGTTGAAGGTGAAAGCTTGCTGATGGCATTGAAAAATGTGGCATTGTCTTCAGGTAGCGCATGTACCAGTGAATCGCTTGAACCTTCATATGTTCTTCGGGCTATAGGATCAGAAGAAGATTTGGCTCATTCCAGTATTAGATTCGGGATTGGAAGGTTCTCCACGGAAGAGGTTATTTCCATTTGCAAATCAAGAATTATTTTATTCACTGCAGGGTATTTGATTTTCTGGCTTGAATGTAAAGATTTTAGCTTTTTATCCTGTTCTCTTCATTCTTCACTTTATATTTCAGGAAGTTGATTATACGGCTGATCTTTGTATCAAAGAAGTGGAACGACTAAGAGAAATGAGCCCATTATGGGAAATGATCCAGGAAGGCACTGATCTGAAAAGTATAGAATGGAGCCAGCGTTAACTAGAACGATCTCATCAGCAATCGATATTTCGACTTCCGGTTTTCAAAGCTTTTTTCTGTTGAAACATTTTGCTGCTTGAATGCAACAAAATCAGCACCCTCCCATACCTCACTGTGCGCTCCAATTTGTGTCGATAACTTATGAGTTATCCAAATATACATACTTTATATTGCCGATCCGGCACCGCTTAAATGAGAAATGTTCAATTGAATTTATTTTAAATATATTTCCAATAGTTGCAATTTTCTTTATTAGATTTTTCGGACACTCGCAGTTAGTAGTAAATAATCTTTGTTATGACCATCCCGTCACGATTATGGAAACATAAGTGGAGAGCTGAAATTTGTTTAAGTCTAGCAATGAATTAAGATCCTTGCTGTGATGCAGTACCCAAAATTATTTCATCCCAAATAATCATCGCATTTCAAGAGCTGTTCACTTCCAGTTTCATATGGAGATAAAAATTTTCTGTTGGCCTAATCCAAAAAATATAAAGTGGAACGAATTAGAAAACTGTTTACCACACTGGAAAGGAATTTTTATCGCATGTCAAACCTCAGTGTCATCGCTCTTAAATGCTAAAAAATAGCAATACATTTTGCTGCAATAATAATTCAAGTTTTACATGAATATATATGTCTGGAACAAAATCACAGTTGATAAGTTGCTGCAGCAAGAGAGTTACTGCTGCTACTGACCTACTTAGCCAGTGTTTAAAATCAACGGTTAAAAAGGAAAAATACGAAAACACGAATCTTTTAAAAATACATTTGGAAAGACTTCATGAACTCTATTTATAATACATAATAAACCGGATAAAAATGCATTTAGCGACTATTTAGAAGCAGAATATAAAACTCTGATAGGACAACCGAAATATGGTATGGTTACAAAGTCGGCGTTCAATTTCAAAACTTAGCAAGTAAAAGTACCGGTGACTGACTGGATGAATGGTCGGGTCACAAAAACAATACAAAACCAACCGGAATTCGCACCAGTTAATAACAATTACTATGAAGAAAACGAATTGAGGCGGAATGGCCATGTTGTTATATTTTAGTACATAATGCAATCAACAACATACCGATAAGTAACTAAAACAGACGTCATAAAGTTGGCCGGAATAGTAGATCGCCATATTCGAGTAAACTACGATATTTTATCGACGATTCTATCTGACTATCAGTTCGTACATCTGAGAAAATTGGTCATGAATGAAATCATTTTAAAAATTGGGCGTTCGAGCATTCCCTCAAACTCATATTATTTCAAACGTTGAGTAATCGATGCAAGTGCAACAGCAAATGCTTGCACGGCACTAAATGGTGAACGGAAATCAAGCGTATAAGCCCCATTTTCTATTCGTCCAAATTGCATCACTTGCTGATCATCGTATTCGATTTGGAAATTTTTCGCTGATTCTTGAGTTACACGACCACCAAAATCTAGCTGAAGTAGTTAATCTTCATATAAATCGGAACTTGGCTCTACACAGATTCTTAAGCAATCCATCCATGTTAATTGCGACATGAACTTAAGGAAGTTTATAACAAAAAAAGACTGGCAGAGTTCGTCAAAAGTCATGTTATTTAAAAAAATTTAAATCAAGGGTTCATTAAGACTTGCTAATCTAGGTGAAGAAGTCGTTTATAATGTTCTATTTGAACTGTAATTAATCCTAGAAATAAAAATGAGTTGAAATGAAGTCAAAAAATGAAGTCATAAATAAGCGTAATTGAAATCAGAAGCGGAATAATTCGTATGTAGTAAATATCGTGTAGTCGAGCCAAGACTAAAACAGACAGTCTGTGATTTTGTAACTGCAACGATCATCCTATTCAAATTCTATGTTGCAGTGTCCGCATGGAAAAGAATATTTTGTAATGGGGAAGAATCTTGAAGTATCGAGCTTTGTGCCCAAATTAAATATCATGTACAGGATAAATAAATCGAAATAGCCAAAATTACTGCGGGGTGGATAAAATGATCATCAGGTAATAGCACGGATACAAGAAAGAAGGTTAAACTGACCATACGCAAACAATTAACAAAATTTTCAAGTATTCCTGGAAATTTAGTAATGTGGAAAGTACACTTATTTACTGCTCTTTATTAATTCACAAATTTTATTTTTGTTTTTTTTGTATTTTTGCTTTACTTTTGTAGTGTAAACAAAAAATGTGCATACCTGATACACTTGGCTAGCTTCATTCCAAAAAGGCGCTTTATTAGTCATGGTAAGGAAGGAAATATTTTCATCACTTAATATAGGCTGTTCACCAAGCACCTCTTTGATATGCTGAATTCTTTCTTGTAAATCACCATAAACTTCGTCGAGTAATTCATCTCCTGAAATAATATAATTTTTACATCAATGAACAATCAAATACGATTAAAAATTGTTTTATATGCTCCAATGAATAAACTGATACCGGTAAAAGCAAAAGATGACAGTATTATAGAGTTAAAATCTAAAAAAATCTAATCTACCATAACTAATTTTCTTTTCGATCTGTGAAACTTTCTTCGAAATATCTTTCAGCTGCGATCTCAGAGAGGATACTGTTGCATGACTTTCCTTAATCGAATCCTAAATTTAAAAACTCTTCAAATAATCTAATTTCACAAGTTTTCTTGTTTGATAGTGATAGTAATGATCAATAAAATCATTGTTTAATTTCCTGCATTCAAAAGGATTTGTACAAAGTAAAAACGGCATAATGCAAGGAAACACATTTTTATAGAATTGGAATGTTCTTTCTGAATTTTTTAATATTTTCTATTATATGATATTATACTTACATTCATACAACGATATGATAAAGACTGTAGATTCATCGGATTTGAGCTCTCGTCATTATTTAACTGCCCCACTGCACAACGCGTAGTTAGATCATTCGCTAACTTTGCCAGCTTATCTAGTACTGACGTTATGTCATTTAACTGTCTCATCCCTAAAGCTACAGATAACATTTCGAAATATATTGGAAATATGTAATATTATAAAGCGTCCATATATCACTATAAAAATACGATGCATACGACTACTTTTGTAGAACTTTTCTGCGAAGAAAAATACTATATGACAAAATTAGTAAAAAATAATATCTAAGAAAATATCACCTTTGCGAGAGGTTTCAGTAGCTTTGAAACAATCAATGAGTGGAGTGCGTTCAGCAGCATCATGCAGGACAATAGCATCATCCTCATCAATATACTATAAGACAGTTTGCAGTTTTTTTTCAAACAGAAAAAAATCATATTCTATTTTTTAAGAATACACAGAACATATTCTACTAAGATATTTCCGTGTGTCAAAAAAAGACTCTTTTAAAAAAATGCTAAGATAAATGGATAATTAGACTGAATGGAAACTATAAGAAACAACCAATAATAACAACCTCAATATCATCGAATTGTTGAGACCATTGATTGCCAGATGTTGAAGGTTCAATATAGGTAAGTTCAGTACGCTGCGTTTTCATGTCTGGATTAATTACACATACTTCTTTGGTAAGACTTGTTGCTCTAGTTGATACTTTCGAGACATATCTTATTACGTTGGTGGTACCACCGAAAGAGTCTAATTTCTGCGACGATCTTTCAAGATCACTAGCAAAGCACTTCATTTTTGCAATATGCTTTTCCACTGCCACTTTCAGATCATTGAATTCTGATAAGATATTCTACAATTAAGTAAACATGAATGATCATAAAACGAATAAGAATTGCTTATATTTTGAAGAAATCTTTCGCTGTATTCCACATCTCAATATATTTTTATTTTTCATCCGAATAATCATATCTTGAACTTCTATGAAATGGTTTTTCATTTAAACCCTAGTAATTAGTGATCTTTCCAACAAACAATATCAACGGTTTATTAAGGCAAAAAATTTTTTTACAAACCAACCCATCCTAATCAAAAAGGTATTGAAAAATTGAATGTACTTGAAAAAGAAGTCTTTCTTCAATTGATAATGGTTCTTCAACTATCTCATTAATCAATGGTTCTACGTCCATTGTCATACCACGTCTTCTGATCAGATTTTCTCTTCAATTAAGATTAAAATGAATAACTTACATAAAAAGAATTATTTCATAAAATTATGCTTGCAAAATTTATGCAACGTGTTTTTCATACTTGCAAAAAGAAATTTAAAAATATAAGAATAAAATTTAATATATGGACACATACCGGTCACTTGGTGCAATAGTGACATTGCGAACACTGCCTTCATTCAAAAAGCCATTGTCGTTACTTGATTGCCCACTGTTTATTGGCTTACGATATGTTCCACAATGAGAATTTACCAGAGGGTTGCCGGTTCTTTTGGTTAAATCAGCCAATTGTACTGTCATTTGACGAGGTTGCAGGTGAAGAACTGATGTCTTATAAACAACCTGAAGTTAAGGTCTCTTACAAATGGCTATTCCATCAAGTTTTTCGGATTTATGTTCCCTTTTTCAGCATCTGATTCACTAGTTAATAAAATCCTTATTTGGTAAATGCCTTAACTGAAAGTTGTCTAAAAAATAGACAAACTTGAGCAAGGAAAGTTGGGAGAATATTGGTTGTGACGGACAACATTTTGAAACGAGTACACCATACATTGGACGTAATCTGAAAAATTATTAATTATTAAGAATACGATATTGAAAAAAAATCATATTTCTATACTTTATTAATTTTTTTTAGCAAAATACATCTACCTGAACTAGTTTGCCATTATTTCTGTTGATAGGGCAATTAACATAGCGATTCATAAAAGCTCTTAATTGGCGTTTACTTCTCCTCCAAACAGAGTTCCGCTGTGTAGATGGTCGAGCAAATGCACCTACATCTTCTGCAAAGGAGTTGGATCACAGATTTATATCAAATGATACAAATAGTGCGTAATTTTAGTGCATGTCGCAATCAAAACTGATATCTAAATAAGGAAAGAAATTCTCGAACACCCACCAACTTGTGCAGAACTTCCACTATCCGATTTTACCA